GCTACTCAAAGTTACCTTTTCCATGGTTTGTGCCTGGGAGGGCAGAGGGGCTACCATCCCAACAAGTTACAGAACGGAAGGGCAACCATGAGAGTGCGTGTTGCTGTCAGGGTCAGAGGGCAGTGTATGAAGACTTTTGAACTATACAATTCTAAGTTTCGAGGGTACCAGGGGCAGGCATCTGAAGCAGGACCTTCAGAGCAAACACTTTGATAAAGAAAAGGCAGCAGGAGAGGGGGTACAATTAAGGAGGAAGAGGCCAGGACAGAAGGACACCCAGGCAAGGATGCTGAGAACGGGGAAAGTGAGCTGCTAGGAATGAGGAGCCAGGCTTTCCCTCTGGGCTAACCAGGCTGTCCTTCGCCTGGAATTATCAGGCACCTGAAACAACAAGGTCAAGAATGTGACCTGAGGAGAGAGGGATATTTGTTCAGGAAACCACACGCTGAGAGAAAGGCCCCAGACTTCAACCGGGGCACTTACCTTCTCTGATGGCAGAATTATACAAGAATTCAAGCAAAGGTTACAGGAGGGAGGGGAACGTTTCTCAAAAGTACTGATGGAGACGGGTAGGAGGGGCGGGGTGCAGCAAGGCAGGCTCCCTCCCTACTTCTCAGTGTGGAGAGCAGCAGCGGGCAGAGGAGGGACACAAGGGGCAAACTGGGCCTCAGCTTCTCCCCAGCATAGTCAGCGCCCCGCCCACCGGGGCATCCGGATTCCAGGCCTCCAGCACAAAAGGCCCTTCCCCCACTTGTCAGCTTTCCTGTGGCCTGGATTGTGTGACCCAGCGCTTTGATCAAACCGGGGCATTATGTACAGACAACTGCTTTAAATATCAAGGTTTTGGAGTCAGTTTGGCGCTTGGTCCCCTTCGTGTGCTCTGTCAGATGAATTATGCCTTAAACCCTTAGATTTTCTGCTCGCCTTGAGGAGGCTGGGTCTCTCTGCGAGGCCTGTCCCGGCTTCAGAAAGCGCTGTTTGGAGGTGAGCATAGTGTGCAAATCCTGACCGTAATCCCCAGTTTATTGTTTCTGGTGGTTGTGGCGCGAGCACTGTTTTGCATGTTCCCACCACTAGCCACTTGGAAGGCTCTGCAAAGATGTCCTTGAAAGAATGAATGGGCTCAGAGCCAGGACCCTGAGGACTTCAGTCACTCAGTCCTTGGTTAGTCAGCCTCCCTGGCTGAATCTGCCTTCTGTGAAAAAGCCAGAGATTTGAGCCTACTTGTGGGGCTGGACGCGGGGAGAGGGGATAGGGGGCACACCTGTAATCCCAGCATGCAGGACACAGAGGCAGAAGGATCAGGTGTTTGAAGCCTGTTTGAGCTGGAGAATGAGTTTCTGGGCTCCAAGTTCTCACTCAGTGTGTTGGGAGAGTAGGGGCATCAAGGTTAACTATGAACAAAGGACCCTATGGGGAAGACTGGAAAGCCCTCCTCACCAGGGCTTCTTGTAACAAAATTGAGCATCTGCCCCCCCCCCCCAGATGAGCTAGCTCTCCTAGAGGATGAGGAGTCTTGTAAATTAACCTAGAAAGAGCAAGACCACGGTACTGTGATTTTCAGCATCTGTCTGCTTGTCTTTCTTGCCCACTAGGTCCCTTCTGTCTGCGAAGTGCTTTTTCCTTCCTTAACAAACTGCCTCTGTTTCTGTCGATGTGTATCCCTGGCCCAACACATTGTTCTGGCACACAAGAAACTGGAAATTTCAACAGGGGCTCTCAGGACTCTGATTCACAAGCTATAACATTAGGAAGAAAGAAAAAACTTGGCAGGCTCTATATCAGCTTTTGAAATCCCGTCATTCCCTCGCTCTTCTGAATTCCCTAGAAAGAATGTGCTTGACCCGGCCATGACACTCGTCTGAGGTATTTCATCAGCTTCAAGAAATAGCTAAGCCCGCAGAGGGAAAGGAAGTAGTCCTTGACAAACCTTCCTGGGTGGCGGCGTCACTACTTGTAACTCAGCAATGTAAGGACGACTTAAGGCCCAGTTGTTGGAATATTGTCCTGAGCATATTTAGAGAAAACATAATAGCAGCTTCTCTTCTAGAAAGACCTATTTCTCTTGTCTTTTGACCCACAATCACCTCTCTTTCCTAGTTGGAGATAAAGCAAAAGAAACCCAGCCGGGACACTGCGGGGAACCGGGGAAGTCCTGCTGTAGCATCCATTTAGTTCCTAGAGCTCCACTCTTGGGTCTCTGCCTGAGGTGGCTTTGCTTGGTAAGGATTGTTCTAGGGACACTGGGAACATGCTGAGGTGTCCAGACTTTGTCACTAATTGGCAAGACCTCTCCATGTCTCCTAGTAACTGAACTCAGCATGTTTGCACCGTACTAGGCTGTGTCTCCTACATTAGGGAGCAGTTTCTAGACATCGGGAGGTTTGTCTAGAGGTTTGTCTTTTCTTGAGCTTTATTTTTTCTTATCAATAGAATGTTGTGAGATTGCCCAGCATGTTAGTTGCTGCTATAGCACCTATCTGCCCAGAGTGTCAGTTGTCATAAACTGGAAGGAGCTGGAGGCTTCTGAGGAGAGCCTCTGCCTCTGGCTACATCCCAGCATGGTCCAGTGGACCTTCAGATTCCTTCCAGAATCATCTTACATCCGTCCATTTCTTAGGAGCCCTAGCTTTAAAGACTAGTGTCTAGCTCTCTGACTAAGACAAGGTTTACCCATTTCCTGAGTCAATCTTAATGTATCAGACTTTTCCTGTTGCTCTCCAGAGATCCTATATTCAAACAATTAAAATGTATTCATTTTTTTTTTCTTCCAAAAATCAGCATCCGAGGGACTGGAGAGATGGCTCAGTGGTTAAGAGCGCGATCTGGGTTCAACTCCCAGCAGGCACATGATGGCAGCTCACAACTGTCTGAACTCCAGTTCCAGGGCATCCCACACCCTCACAGACATACCTGCAGGCAAAATACCAATCAGTGCCCATAAAATAAAAATAAATAAGTCATTTGAGGAAAGAAAAGACTACGCAAAAGAAATCAGCACCCTTGATAGTCTTTACTATTGCACTGGTGTGATTCGAACCTGCGTCTCCTACAAAGTTCATATTGGTGCCTAAGACCCACTGGAAGGGTATTGGGAGGTGGAACATGCAGGAGGTCATTAGACCTTGAGGGCTTCGTCTTTGTCCACAGGACTGGTGCATTATAGAAAGGACTCTGGGTGTGCCCTAGGTGCTCTTATCTTTCTGCCCCTTCTGCCGCATGAGGATGCAACGTTCTTCACTCTGTGGATGTCATTGAGAAACCATCTTAGAAACAGAGACCTTCCTGACCTGGCATCGAACCCTCTAATGTAGTGGTTCTCAACCTGTGGGTGAGGACACCTTTGGATTAAACAGCCCTTTCACAGGGGTCAGATATGCTGCATACCAGATATTTACATTACAATTCGTAAGAGTATCAAAATTACAGTTACGAAGTAGCAATGACATTATTTTATGGTTGGGGACACCACAACATGAGGAGCTGTATTAAAGGGTCACAGCATTAGGAAGGCTGAGAGCCACTGATCTAGTGATACCCTACAAATCACTTCCTGATGATTTCAATCATTCAACACATGCCTGCTGAACCCCCTGAACATCCTCCTCAAAGTCCTCAGGAACATACTGAATGGTCTCAATGGATTAGGACATGAGCTCTAGAAACCAAAACCCAAGCTAGTCTTCTTCCTCTCCCTCACCTCATCCTTTATCCCCACAGCTCTCTTCCTAAACGCGATCTTCACCTACTGCCTTAGTGAGGGTTTCTATTGCTACAACAAAACACCATGACCAAAAAGCAAGCTGGAGAGGAAAGGGTTTATTTGACTTACATGTCAGCATTGCTGTTTACCACCAAAAGAACTCAAGTAGCGCAGGAACCTGGAGACAGGAGCTGATGCAGAGGACATGAAGGGGTGCTGCTTTCTGTCTTGCTCAGCCTGCTTTCTCCTGGAACCCAGGACCACCAGCCACTCACAATGGGCTGTGCCCTCCCCCATCGATCACTAATTGAGAAAATGCCTTACAGCTGGATTTCATAGAGGTATTTTCTCAGCTGAGGTTCCTTCCTCCCTAATGATGCTAGCATGTGTCAAATTGACACACAAAACCAGCCAGTACTCCCCTTTTTCCAGACGAACAATTGTAATCAGCTTGCTTTGACAATTCTTAGAGCACTCTACTGCCTCTGGGGTCCCAGCCCGGATGCCCTTTATTTTTCTTTCACGTGACATTAATCGTTTCTTCTTTGGCAACTATTCCCTTCATTCAGTTCCATTAACTTTGCTCTTTATTTTGTTTCCTTCATAATTGGCTTCATACTTGCAAAATTGGATTGCTCAGCTGGTGACACACACACCTTTAATTCTAGCACTCAGTAAGCAGAAGCAGGCATGTAGAACACTAAGTTGGAGGGCATCCTGATCTACATAGTGTGTTCCAGGCCAGGCAATGCTATATAGTGAGACAATTATACATATGTGTGTGTATGTATGTATGTATGTATGTATGTGTGTGTGTGTGTATTATTGTTTTCTATAGCTCTGTCTTATTGCCTCATTGTGAGTATAGTGAGAGAGGGGTGTAGTATTTGGGTGTCTGTTTATGAACCATCAGCTAATGGAATAAATGGCAAGAAAGAAGAAAATATTTACTAAGTGCATATGGTATACCAAAGACCTTTATTTATTTATCTGTTTGTTTGTTTCCAATGTTGTATTTAATGCTCTAAACAGTAAGGGTCAAGCTGGATCCATGGTCCAAACCCGGCTTGTTTTCATGAAACATTGTCACGTCTGTTTATTTGCTTGCTATTTATGGCTAGTTTTCTGCTACAGTAGTAGGGTTGAATCATTGTGACAGAGGCTGTGACCAGCAAGTTGCCTGGTCCTATGGATGTATAGTTTCACGACTGTGATCCATAAGGCAGGAATCAAAGCAGCATTTTAATGCAACGAAATAAGACAGGTGAGCTGTGGTCTGTGTTTGGTACCCGCTGCCATGCCCAAGCGGAGCTGCCCATTCGCGGATGCTTCCCCTCTACAGCTCAAGGACCGCGTGGGCCAGAGAGAGTTGAGCCACAGTGTGTTCGCCGAACACTCCTCACGCGAGGTCTTTGAAAGAACCAAGCCGTTCCTTTTTCCAAGGGGCCTAAGCTTATAGAGATCACATTTGGAGCGAAGGCTGTTCCATCACCCACCTGCCGGAGTCACTGAAGCCTGGTCTGGTGGGGGCCCCTCAAGCTACAAGGGGACAGATGTTGATTGGACCTGATGGCGGACTGACACAGTGCCAAGCTCAGGCCTCGGAAGCTGGACTGCCTGGGACAGCACCCATCGGCTTGTTCATCCTGCGTGAGATCTGTGGATGGGAAGGCGGTCTGCAGCCAGTGCGACTGGGCCCTGTGTGGACAATGTCTATATACCTGCTGGGGCTGCGGTGCTCTGGCCTGTATGCTGTGTGGCCTTGCAGACTATACTGATGATGGTGAGAAGACGCTTTGCACCAGCTGTGCTATGTTTGAAGCCTGATGTGGCCAAGGACAACCAAGATGCTCACACCGAAAAGAGAGGAGGTGGCTTTTTTATACATTATGTTTTATACCCCAGTAACAAGTGAATAAACCTCTTTATATTTGAAAAAAAAAAAAAGACAGGTGAAGCACAGAAATTCCTGGCACACGAGGGGTCATCAACAAACAGAGGTTGCCATCATTACTGCTGCAGTCATTGTAGTTGGGCCTAGAAATGTTAATTCATTTTGAAGAGTGGTAAAATCACGCTGTTGGAGGAGGGCCCACTTGTTCATCCCAGCCACCCGGCCAGCTTAGACCTGAAATAATCACACAGGAACTGTATTAATTAAATTACGGCTTGGCCCATTAGCTCTAGCTTATTGGCTAACTCTTACATCTTAATTTAACCCATCTCTGTTAATCTGTGCATCACCATGAGGTCATGGCCTACCAGCAAAGTTTCAGTATGTCTATCTCCGGCGTCCCCTGACTCCATTTTTCTTTCTCCAGCATTCAGTTCTGTCTTTCCAGCTTACCTAAGTTCTGCCCTATCAACAGGCCAAAGCAGTTTCTTTATTCATTAACGATAATCACAGCACACAGAGGGGACTCCCACATCATCACACAAAGTTGGAAAAGCAGTGAGAACCAGTAGGGAGGGACATGGGAGGAAAGGGGGAGAAGACATAGAGGTTTCTCCTCTGCTTTCTCTTTGCGCAAACTTTCCAAAAAGCGTTTTTAATCCATTCTCAAAGTTGGAAATGTTGCTCAGTGTGGAGGCCCACAGATGTAAGTCTGTTCCACCTTGACTAAAGGTCAGAGAGATTGACTTATTTTTACTCTTTCAGAGTTGTTGATAACAGCTGTGGCTACAAACAAGAAACCCTGACCTAGGGTGTGGTTACTTGGTGCTTTGGACATTAAGATGGCCCATAGGGGTGGATCCCCTCCACCCTGACCAAAGGTCAGAGAATTCAAAGCTATTCCTGCCCCTTCATTTTAAAACAGGAGGTTTGACATAGGGAGTGACTGTCTAGGGGATACTTGGTCTAGGGTGTGTTCATTGCATATCCTGCCCAAAACATCAGAATGCTTTACTCAGGAAATAGTGACTTGATGTCTCTAGTGTCGAAGCAAGTAACTGTTCTGTGTCCTTTGTATAGTGCTAAAGCAGTCTTTTGCCTTCTCCCCGCCTCCCCTTTCTGTATTGGGGTATAAAAGCATATGAAAAATAAACATTGGCAGATTCAGTATTCACTGAGTTGCCCTCCCAGTACTATCCTATGTCTCTGTATTTCTTTTGTATCTCTGTCTATTCTGCCTAACTTTTCTAAGCCACACGCCCCTACCCTGGAAAGTGGGAACCCATTGTGGCTGGACCATGACAAATGTCACCCCAAAATGTGGCTTCCGACAGCTCAGTTGACAAAATGCTTGCCTAGCATGTACAAAATCCTGGCTTTGATCCTCACCACCACATAAAACTCGGTATGGTGTTACACACTCTAATCCCGCACTGGAGAAATGGTGTTACACACTGTAACCCCGCACTGGAGAAATGGTGTTACACACTGTAATCCAGCACTGGAGAAATGGTGTTACACACTGTAATCCCACACTGGAGAAATGGTGTTACACACTGTAACCCCGCACTGGAGAAATGGTGTTACACACTGTAATCCAGCACTGGAGAAATGGTGTTACACACTGTAACCCAGCACTGGAGAAATGGTGTTACACACTCTAATCCCGCACTGGAGAAATGGTGTTACACACTGTAATCCCACACTGGAGAAATGGTGTTACACACTGTAATCCAGCACTGGAGAAACGGTGTTACACACTGTAATCCCAGCACTGGAGAAATGGTGTTACACACTGTAACCCAGCACTGGAGAAATGGTGTTACACACTGTAATCCCGTACTGGAGAAATGGTGTTACACACTCTAATCCCGCACTGGAGAAATGGTGTTACACACTGTAATCCCGCACTGGAGAAATGGTGTTACACACTGTAATCCAGCACTGGAGAAATGGTGTTACACACTCTAATCCCGCACTGGAGAAATGGTGTTACACACTGTAATCCCACACTGGAGAAATGGTGTTACACACTGTAATCCCACACTGGAGAAATGTTGTTACACACTGTAATCCCAGCACTGGAGAAATGGTGTTACACACTGTAATCCCACACTGGAGAAATGGTGTTACACACTGTAATCCCGCACTGGAGAAATGGTGTTACACACTGTAATCCCACACTGGAGAAATGGTGTTACACACTGTAACCCCGCACTGGAGAAATGATGTTACACACTGTAATCCAGCACTGGAGAAATGGTGTTACACACTGTAATCCAGCACTGGAGAAATGGTGTTACTGTAATCCAGCACTGGAGAAATGGTGTTACACACTGTAATCCAGCACTAGAGAAATGGTGTTACTGTAATCCAGCACTGGAGAAATGGTGTTACACACTGTAATCCCGCACTGGAGAAATGGTGTTACACACTGTAATCCAGCACTGGAGAAATGGTGTTACACACTGTAACCCAGCACTGGAGAAGAGGAGGCAAGATGATCAAGAAATTCAAGGTCATCCTCCTCACCTATATAACAGGTTTGAGCTATGCTGGGCTAACGAAAGCTATGTATTCTGCTGCATAGGTGAAAACGACAGGAAAGGAAGGAAACTGATCCACAAATAGGTTGAGAAAATAGAACGTAAATATTAGTACAGAGAGGAGAATAACACTGTTTACACAGAAGTATGCTTAAACCACATTATTTATTGCATGCAATAGACAGCAGTAGGCACATTGGCCGCTCATTGAGATTCGTATCATTACCCTAAAGTAATTAAACCAGAGTGGACATCCTGTCTCACGCAAATGACTTCTACCTGGAATAGCGATCACAGCTATAATCATGCTCCATTTGAAGTCTTGACTTCATGAATATGATTGAGAGCTTGTGAAATGAGGTGAGATTGGCTAGGCCTTCAGGGGAGTGGAGTGATGGGCACACGAACTGACGGCAGCCATCAATCACAGGCTTCCATATCCCGCTCCTTCTGCTGACTTCCAGGAATCCATATGGAGCCAGTCTCTTGTGGAGCTCTCGACTATTCTGAGAAGCTTGCATTAAGTTGTGGTTCCCATTGATTTCCCACTCCTCTTACTCTTCAAGCTCAGTTATAGACATCCACACTTGAGCTAGAATATTCAAAAGACAAGAAGCCAGGGAGGTGAGGATTACATCTCATACACGGCTTTCTTTTCCCTGCAGATTTTGTTTTCCTCCCAAATGCCAAATTATTTTTTTCTGTGTGTACTTTACTCTTTACTCATTTGGGTTTTTTTTTCTTATACTCTATGGAATGGTTATAAACAACATAAAGCAGAAGTTCTTGTTTACTTGGTTTTAAAATATCTGATCCTTGAGTTCGGAAAGCCTACATAGCCTCTAATACAGATCATGATTTTCTAAGAGCAGGCTGCCGGGAAAACGGATCTGCCAATATGGATGTGAATTTGTACAGCAGACAATGTGAGTTCCAGAGGGATGCAAAGACAGTGGCACCTCCCAGCACACACTCCCTTCTTAGGGCATTGTTCACTGGTTCCTTAGTAAGTCCTTGTGTTTGTATCCAGAGCCCACTGCCCACCCCCCCACCTGCTTCTCTAAGCTTTCCAGGCTGTCCCCAATATTGGTGCTTGAACCAAAGCAGCTAGAAATAGGTGAGACCAAAGACATGTGACCTCTGAGGTTCCCCTAGCCTTATTAGCAGAGATGGTCCTTATTGGATGTTGACCAATACAACCACAGTCTCTCTTGGGATCATATTAAGAAGAAAAGCAAAGATTTAAAGTCTTGTATGGTTTTCTTTTGAAGTCCACTTCACGATGCTCCCCTGAGCCCGGAGTACTTTGCTTAGGGAGTTGAGTGAGTGTTGGATGAGCGATTGTGCAATTTATAGACTAAGAATATAAAGCAGTTTCTACAAAAGAGTTCAACATGATTCTGGCCCACCTTCATAACCAATGAATAAAGACATATGTATAGAATTTGAATGAATTTCAGGCCTTTAACTTTTGATCAATTTAGCTAGTCCATTAGCGTAATCCTGAGGAAATATTGTCCTACTGACCGGAAGTCTGAAGGGTCCATCAGACAGAAAAAGCCTGGTGTAAATACCAGTAGTGAGGGGTCAGATGGTGTAGCGGGTGCCTGGTACCTGGAGATTCAGATAGTATTGTAGGCTGAATTGTGCACCTTCAAAATGTGTGAGTTAAAACTTGAACCACTTGTATTTGGAAGTTAAGCCTTTAATGAAATGTTAAGTTTAAAAGGCAAGCATTAGGTCCCAATCCAATAGGACCTGTGTACCTAAGCAGAAATGTGGGCACACAAAGAACACAGGGATAGACACACAGGGATGGACACGTAAGGAGGAAAGACTTTGTGAAGACACCTAAAAGCCGAAGAGAAAGGCCCAGAAGAAATGCCGGTCTCAGACTTCTAGCCTTCAGAGCTATGCTGTTGTGTAGGCTGCCCCTTCTACATTCTGTGTTACGGAAGCCAGGCACACTATGTTCCAGGCAGTGGATAGAAGAACTCCATTTCCAAGGGGTTGATTGTGTCCACGATCCAACTGTAATGTGTGTGTGTCTTTTCCAAGCATGTTAGTGCCTGATGAAGGGGAGAATGAAGTGCGTCTGGGTGTCTGTTGTGTGAGGCAAACCCTCCAGAAGCCACAAAAGCAAGCCAAGCAATGGACTTGCTTTCTGAAGATGAATTAAGTGAGTCTCAGCAGGTAAGAATCATGTCTTAGTTTCTCAAAGAATGGTTAGTGTTTCTGTCACCGGAGTGGACTCCTGGAAGTCTCCCAAGAGGGACGATTCTGTGTAACAGTCAGACTCCAGATGGCTGGTGCATCCGCCAATCATTATCAGCAAGGCGAAAGCACATAGGCCCAGTCAAACCACCCCATTACAGCAACCATCACAC